TAAAGAAAATAAAATATATTAATCAAATTAGAACTTATCTCTTCCTTGTCGTTGGGGTGTTCTTCGTTCTTCATTGGAATTGTCGCTTCTTTCGTCGTGAAGTCGTCTTTTCTGGCTCTTTCTAATGCTCCTCAAAATCAAATTCAAAGCTTGAATTTCAATCAAATATTTGAACTTCAAATTTAAAACCGCATAGTTAAACTGAATAAAAAAATTATTTTAATTCTAGAGATCTGTATAATTCAAATAAAAAAAATTCAATGAATTTGATTATGTAGTTATCAAAATTTTAGATTCGAAGGTAATTCAAGCTTTGAATTTGATTTAGTTCTTTCGTCGTTGGTATCGTCCCAAAAATTGTTTTTGATTGAAAGTCGTCATTTCTGGCTCTTTGTCGTCCCAAATTTTGATTTGATGAATATACGAAACTTCGTCTTATTGTTACCCTTTTAAAAGCTGCACCCTTTGTTCTATTGGGTTTTCTATCATTTTCCCGACATCCACTTTCCCGACAAAAATTGACCGAAACTATAGTTGATGCTAACCTAATGCAGTCTAACTTGTCGGGATTTTGTCATTGTCGGGAAAGTGGTTGTCGGGAAAATGATGGTTATCACGTGCCTTATAATAAAGTCGATATAAATTACGCGACTTTAAAAGGTGTTTATCGCGTTATTTCTGACTTGTCAACCAAACATTGACAGCTTTTAACAATACAAAAAATCATGTTCTTTTTTTTAATTGGTAGACTTGATCACTTTCAGAATTTGCTTTCAAAATGTATAAGGTTCTCTACTAACTGGTCTTTATGTTTACTGAGCAAGGCTCGCTCACACCACAAACTACACGCCTAACTTCCTCTGCCGTAAGATGTCCAAATTGCCTTGATCCATCTCCAACAGTATTTCTTAATAAATACCAAAATAAGCTTTCAGTATTCTTTATTCCCGTTTGGTGGTTCAAACCAAAATTTCTTTGGATTTGTGAACGATGTAAATGGACTGGAGATACGAAGCCTAATGACGAACAGGTTCGACAGAGAGAAGAAGCGGAGTTGACGTTACGACAACGGCAACCTTTACCAACTTGGGTAAAATCATAAAGTACTGTTTTTATTTTTGATCACAGAACTATCATTTAACTTTTTATCAATTCCAGGGATTGAGAAAGTGTAAGACTTGTGATATGGAGGTAAAGCTTTCAAATGATCACGCGACTACGGTTATACATCGTGCTAGAAAGACTTTCGTAAATATTGATTTTGTAGATTAACGTTTCTGGTCGCATCAAGTACTGTCCATATTGCGGGAATCCGGTTCAAATCTAAGGTTTGTATGTGTTTAATGATAGGTTGACAGCTTCCGTTTGACATTGCGTACAGTAAATGCATATATATATTTTTTAATTCGTAGGTTATTTCAGGAAAATTTGTTTAGAAAATTTACTTTTTAAAACACTAAATAAATTCGCATTGATAATATATATTTGAAAATAAAAATTATAATATTTATTATCTGGTAGATAAATTTGTTTGCTAAAATTTTTTAAGCATGCTTTGATTTAGATATTTAAGTGGTAATTCTCAGTTTAAGAATATAAATTTCATAGTAAAAATCGGCGGAGAATTAATTCCATATAATGTTAAAATGCCGACAATATATAACGCACAATCTGCTAAACCTTATAATTGTAACTAAAGTCAGGTGTACTTGGGCAAATGTGATGATCATAGAGTGTGATTGTTAAATCTGTAATATCGTGAGTTGATA